TCTGCCTCCTGGGTTCAAGTGATTCTCCTGCCTCAGCCTCCTGAGTAGCTGAGATTACAGGCACCCACCACCATGCCCTGCTAATTTTTATATTTTTAGTAGAGACAGGGTTTCACCATGTTGGCCAGGCTGGTCTTGATCTCCTGACCTCATGATCCACCCGCCTCCCAAAGTGCTGGGATTACAGGCCTGAAAGTGCAACTCTTGAAAGAATAGTCTGCCCCCTGGAAGTGGTGAAACAGGAGGTTCCTGAAAGACGCACTTTAATTATATGTTGAACAATTGAGGGCCGTGAGGCTGGGTACCTGTCATATGCTTAACTCTGGTACACAGTGGACCCTGGCTGTCCTTCACATGCCCGTGAAAGTAACTTGGGCCTTACAATAATGGCTGGCGGTGGGCTGCTCTGGGTCAGATGGGTGGGGCGGTTCCCTATCCGATGAACAAAACAAAAGCCAAGAATTCCGAGACTGTTGTTTTCCTAGGGGAAAAAAATCCTCCCTTTCCGCTAGGTGGTAGTGACTGAAGAACCCTAGGGGCATCTCTGGCAGGGCTGGGCTTTTAGTGAGGGCAGGCCCCAGGGGCACCACTCTCCCTGCTTCCCACATCCTTCTGCTCTGGCATGACCACTCTTCATGCCCTCTTGAGAGCACCATTAGCAAACTCAAACATTGACTTACAAGGTCCCCGGAACACACACCATGACCATCAGTGTGGAAGACAGAGGAACCTGCCCAATGTATCCCGATTTTCTGAAGCACCTGCTGTCCTTGCCCTGGAGACAGTGATTTGATGACAGGCACAGAGGCAGCTGGTTTAGATCAGGCTGTGCATTTTGGGGAGGAGTTGTGGAAGGCTGTGAGCTTTGTGCCTCCTTTGACTGTTCGGTTGGTATATTTGTTTTTTGCTCCTATGTAGGTTATTGGTGATTACTTTGGAAAAGAAGGTCGTTTTGAAATGCGGCCGAATGTCAAATATCCTTGGGGACCCTTAAAACTGAGAATAGATGAAACCCGGATTGTAGAGCACACAAACAGCTCTCCCTGCAAATCATGTAAGTCCAGAGACTTAATTTGCTATTCATGCCATCACCTCTAAGCTCAGCGTAATATAAGTTTAAAACCCAAGTGTTTCTGGGGGCTTACATTTTGGAAGTTCACATTTCTTTCTCTGATGTGGTAAAATGCATGGGAACAGTTCACGAACTGGTATTTTGCCCTTATCAGAGGCTTTCAGGTTTTCATTCCCTTCCAGCCTTCTCTTCCACAATGGGAGAATGTTTCTCCCTATTTGTACATCTCTTACTGTAATCTCTTGGCTAGTTCATGTTTCCACTTTTAGGGAAAATCAAAATATCAGTTAGTAAATGTCATTCATTTATTCTTCTCTCATAGCAAGTCTCGTTCTGATTTTCCAAGTTTGTGGTTATTTTCCAGCTCCTTAGAACCAAAGAGATAACACCCCTTAAACATCTGAACATGTACACATTGGCAAATAAGGGTAAAATGTATTAGTTATGAACAGCTTTGTATGTAAGTAGAGAAACAAGTGGATGTTCTCATATGTAGCTTACAAATGGGAAAGTTGTTAGAAATCATTGTTTCAGAGAATAAGGTAGTGAGGGAGAACAAGGCGAATACAGGTCTTTCAGGAGGCCAGTTGGTCATTTCAGGCAAATATATGTGTGCTTCTGAAAGCATCTTTTAAACTGTTAGGCATTTATGTCTATGCAGTAATTATGGGAAGGAATGAAGGAGGAAGTGTGTTAAGAACACTCTGGGGAGATTGGGCCTGTATTTGAAATCCCACTGTTGTCACTTGCTGGCTTTGTGACCCTAGGAGCGTTCCTTCAGCTTTTTAACCCTCAGTTTTCCAGTGTAAAGAGAAAGAAATGTGCCCAACGCATAAGGCTGTTTTGAGGATTACACACTATGATGCATTGAAAACCTCATACTAAACTCTAGTTACAAGTTAACTATTTATCATATTTATATAACTGGGACACTACTGAACTTGATTGTTTCAAATTGTTATCCACATTTTCACATTTTGACATGAGACTCTGGCTTTGGTGAGAGAATATCTAAAAACAGAACATTGACCCAATGAATTTTTCATCAAATCTTCTAGCATTTTGAAGTGCCATCATCCATCTGTGAAAATAAGAAGCCCTGGGTCAGTGTCCTGGTCCAGCTTGTTGTCTTCTTTGACTTTATTTTTTTATTTTTGAGATGGAGTCTCACTATGTCACTCAGGCTGGAGTGCAGTGGCGTGATTTTGGCTCACTGCAACCTCTACCTCTTGGGTTCGAGTGATTCTCCTGCCTCAGCCTCCTGAGTAGCTGGGATTAAAGGTGCTTGTCACCGCATCCAGCTAATTTTTGTATTTTTAGTAGAGATGGGGTTTCACCATGTTGGCCGGCTGGTCTTGAACTCCTGACCTCAGACGATCCACCCACTTTGGCCTCCCAATTCTTTGACTTTAAGCTCAAAAGAGAGTGGCTATACCTGAAATCTTCTGTTCTAGTTTTCCTCTGATTCTTGAATTTGCTTCTGTTCTCATTGTGTCCACTCTCTTAATAGTGTGCTTGTTTATCTAGCACTTTCTCAAATGCTTTTTAAGCTTTGCACTAGGCAAATCAAACCGAACCAAACCAAACCAAAACAACAACAACAACCCCCCCCCCAAAAAAAAAGCTAAGTGTAGTGTTCCTTAGAAAATACTCTTGAAAAAAAAAAAGGAAAAGTTGCCTCCAGTGGGAAATCGAGGAACATCTTGCAATGAATGAAATTTGAGGCATTTGCAATTGTATCTCAAAATGAACCCTAGTTATCTATGCTTCTTTTTCAAGCAGGTGGCCTAGAAGAATCAGCAGTGACAGGAATTGTTGTGGGGGCCTTACTAGGAGCTGGCTTGCTAATGGCCTTCTACTTTTTCAGGTGAGGACCATTTGTTAAGGTACAATTCACTCTCCTCTACTGTCTTTGTCATTTGTTTTTGCATGATTCTCTTTGTGACTTGTCCACATTCTTCTTTTACCCAAGAAGCACGGTGGTTAAAAAATCTAAGCCATTCTTTTGGCGTGACCCCAGGTTTGGTAGTCAGTGCGTTAACATACTGGGTGCTCGGGTCATCGGTTTCGATTACATCTCACTGTGGGACAGAGAGCTGCTGCCGTACTTTGATCACAGATTTTTATTTTTATTTTTTTGAGATAGAGTCTCACTCAGTCTTGCCAGGGCTGGAGTGCAGTGGCAGGATCTCTGCTCACTGCAATTTCGCCTCCTGGGCTCAAGCGATTCTCCTGCCTCAACCTCATCAGTAACTGGGGCTACGGGTGCAGGCCACCATGCCTGGTTAATTTTTTATATTTTTAGTAGAGACAGGGTTTTACCATGTTGGCCAGGCTGGTCTTGAACTCTTGACCTCAAGTGATCCATCTGCCTTAGCGTCCCAAAGTGCTGGGATTATAGGTCTGAGCCACCATCCTTTGATCACAGATATTCTCACAAGAATTCCTACCGCCCACCAAGTGAAGCAGTGAGGAGGGAATCTGAATAAAGGAGGGAAATCAACTTCCCCTTTCTCAGGCTTTCTCCAATTCGGAAATAGGTGCCCGGGCCCACCTTAAAGACAAGGAGGGAGCTCTGCAGAGCCTGTGCTCTCAGGCTGATCTGTGCTCAGTATTTGGAGAGCTCACATTCTCACTCAGCACTGTGGTTAAGCCCCAAGGCTTGCAAAATTGTAATAATGTACACGTGTTCAAGGTACTGATTGTTCTGCCCCGAGAGGGTGGCCCATTCCTTTGTAATCTTTGGTGGTTGAGTTTGTGGTTTATTCATAAGTTATTAGATAGAGCAAGGTTTCTTTATTTCTACATGAAATTGTAACTGGGCGTATGTGACCCTTTGTGGGAACAATTGTATTACTGTTCCTTGGGTCACAGTACACGTAGTTTGATTTTTATCTAGGACATATCCTGGGAGGCAGGGAGAACTTTTGTGGCCGAATAGACAGACTTAACCCCCAAGGCACCCAGGGAAGAAGGGGAAGGCTTGTTCTGTGGTATTTGGGAAAGCATGCCAATTTTCTCTCTTGAATCAGGGCATCACGCCTGGGGGCACACTACTTTAATCTCTAACCAGGGTTTCATATTCTGTCACTTCTCATTTATCAACTCAAACCCAGATGTCCCTTGAGGGCACTCTTTGTAAGAGAAACCATGGTATTTTGTAGCCAAGTTTTATTATGACATTCACTTTTTCTTTACCCAGGAAGAAATACAGAATAACCATTGAGAGGCGAAACCAGCAAGAAGAAAGTAATCTTGGAAAACATCGGGAGTTACGGGAAGATTCCATCAGATCCCATTTTTCAGTGGCTTAAGGGAAGGCTCCCCCTCCCCTGATACTTTTTTTTCTGCCTGAGATTCTTTAAGGACATAGAGGGGAGGAAAGAAATCAATGAAATAGAAGGGGCGTTCTTGAAGAATTCATTATTTTAAGCAGTTAGTCATTTCATTTTAAAATTTCTTTAGAAGCTCAGGAACTATTATTAATCACCATCTGCCTCCAGGCCTTTCATCTCATGACAAACAAATATAATCATGATATCGTGTCACTCTGCTAAATGTTCATACTGTTTCAAGGGCATATGATTAGATTTATGCTTTTAAAATCTGATGTCTCCATATCTTGATGGCTTTTGGGAGCATTTCACACAAGGGTATAAAACACGATTTACTTAAATGAAATGTTTTGTAGCTAGAATAAAATATTTTTACAAGTAGAACATTCTTGGAAAGAATTCAACACCCAATAAGGGGAAAATGTAATGAAAAAATCTCAAGGTTGGAAATACTGCCTTACTCTCCCTAGAGCTGGAGGACAGATGGTTGAAGACTTCTCTGTCCAATGTCTACATTCAGGTTCTGACTTCATATCTTGAAAAAGGATTCCCTCCCTGTCTTTTTCAGTCTCATAAAAGCTACTCTGGAAAGTTGTAAATATTAGTGAGAGGTGAGAGGATTTACAAATGAAAAGCAAGTCTAAAATGTTTTCGATGTAAAAAAAATCCTATTTCACACTAACATTTTATTTTACAAGTATTTTAATCTTATATTTTGGTATTAGAAAAATTTGTCTATTTTTTCATTTTGAAGATTAACTTTTGCTTATATTTTAAAAGCTTGGGTCAAGCGTACAACAAACCAATGATGATGAAAAATACTTCTCTTTTTCTCCCTGTTTCCCTCTTTCCCTTGGCCACAGCCAAATGCTAATTGCTGCTTTAATTACAGAGATGTGGAAATGTATTCACATGATAAACTTTCCAGGAATACATCAAAATTTTAACTCTTTGGCATTTTTACTGTTTAACTGTTTTAAATGCAAGTTATTTTAGGGTGCCACTCCTTCCAATTCTGGCCAAATGATGAGTTTCAAGATCAAGAGTGAAAAGTTATTAGAATTAAACAGATCTTTATAAAGGAAGGCAGCCCTTTTCTCTCAAGAACAACTTTGTTGAGAGTTACAACTTGACAGCAAGTACCGCAATGACAAATGTAAAACTTTTACACATGGCATTTGCCAAATTTCCCAGTGACGATTTTGGTTAAAAGAGGGAACCTAAATATCTACTCTATTCCCTCTCAGTTAACGCCACAGAACTTTGTAGCCGTCTATGAATAACGGTAAGAGTGGGTTAGGTGTGCAGATAAGGAATTTGGATAAAGTTGAGTAAGTTTTTACTGGGTATCTGCTTTGCACGCAGTAGTCTGCACATGAGTTTAAACTCAGGTCACCACTTTCACTTATACTTTATGGAGAAGATAGACCGTGAGGGAGGAAGGGGAAGCTGTCATGTCAGTGCACCGTCTTGGAATTACATAACTGGGGTCTTTCCTCAATAACATTTTGAGCAGCTGAAAAATAGTTTAAAAATTATCTTAATATCTATTAAAGGCCATGTCTATGCAGGAAACAGGAGAGTTTGAGCAATCCCTTGGTGGTGATGAAGGTGGTTCACACAAGTAACAGTGGAGGCAAAGGTAAGCGCAAGCTGCCTGTCCTAGAGCTGGCCCATGTGTGTGTGCTTCCCTGGAGAAGTCTGCTTCTGTTGCTCCCACTTGAGTCACAGCTAACAGATTATTTCTCTGTGAGGCACATTTCTCCTCTGTTGTTTAAAAAATGAGAGCTGGGAGGCAGCTGAGAGGGTGTGATAAATTAAGTATAAGCAAGTGAAACAACTCTGTTGTAGTTCTCTATGCCGGATGCAAAGGGAACAGTGTTGAATTCCAAAAAGGATAGAAGAAGAGGGCAAGAAGCACAAACTCCAGAAATTCTAGTGCAGGAAGAGAGTTTGAGAAGTAAAATCCAGGAAAGCAAAGCACTGGACCGCTTGGGACTCCCCAGAGTGAAAAAGCATGGAAGGACTGTATCCACTTTAGTTACTTGAATTGGAGAGCTTGTTTCTCTCTCATTTTTACTTTTCAATGATGTTTTCTTTATATTTCAGAGATATTCATTTTCTCTTGTGCTTGTAAAAAAACACTTACACTTCAAGTCTGTGTGCTTACAGGGGGAAAAATAATCTACCTGGTTGCAGTCTTTGAGTATAACCACATCTAACCTTTTTAAAATTTATATAGAAGTCCATTAACGCTAACATTTTTAGAACAAATATATTCCATTTTAACGTCAGGTAGAGGAATAGTCCTAAACTTAATATGATAGCTCTAGATAAAGTCTTAAAGATAAGTGAGAATTTAGTATTCTAAAAATGGCAGAACAAATCATGAGGTTTCTGGATGCCATACCAATGTAAAATCAATTCTCATGTTAAGATTGATTGCTTATTTACATGTCAGTCATCTACTTTTTCTTCCTTGAAATCGGCATATGAATTACAAAAACTCTGTTAAGCTTGGAAAATTCCATTAAGTTGGAAACATTGGTTAAAAGTGCAGGTGCTTGGCCCAAGGTTATCCTGGTTTCAGATCTCAAGATTAGTTTTGGGGATTTATGTTCCTAACTGCTAAGCAACATCTTTGACAACTAGTGATTTATACTCTACTGGTAGTCCTATGTCACATAGTAAAATAAATAGGGCCTTAGTTCTTAAGTCGTCTTATACATTTTTACCCTGAAATCTAGGGTGTTCAGATTTCAAAAGGGATACTTTAAATACAGATTTCAAAATGTATTTTCTCATCCAAACTTCAGCTGACACTGTACAGGTCAACATGTGTAGACACTTTTTGATGTTGTCTTATGGTCATCATCGTCTTCTTAGATTTTTGGGTAGGGGTGCCAGGTAGGGGGAGACTCAGAAATGAAAGCATTCCCCAGAAAACTATCTGGAAAGAATTTTCTGTATAGAGTCCATCTCTCTCCCAAGACTGACCACAGGTTTCATGAGGAAGCCCCAGAAAACATCACATTTCTCTGAAGAACCATCAACTTGTCTTTTCCTGAACCACAGGCATGGTTCCACAGGCCCTACTGTAATTCTTTACATTTCAGAGCCTGTGTTTAATGGAGGGAAGAGAGAAACGCATGGAATAAGAACACCTCCTTTTCTCCTTTCTCTTAAATTCAAAGACGTTTGCTTGGAATGCCCCCATTTCTCCCTATTTACAGGCTTTTAGAATCATTAATTTACTCAAGGCACCTGCGCCTTCTTTGCCCCAAATGCACCACTTTCCTTTTAGTTATGGGGGATTTTGGGTGCCTGTGTGTATGATACGCAGTCAGCGATGAGATGAAGGCCATTGCATAGATCTCATGCAGATAGTGATGGATTCAGAAAGTAGGTTCCAGTGGCATTTTTACCTTCTTGTAAGCAAGTATACAATGGCTATTCGTGGAAGTCTCTTTGGGAGACCAAATAGAGTATTATGCCACTGGGAGTGGTTTTAGACTGGAAAGAACGAGCACCTGTGTTTCTTGGGACACAAAGCACTCAGATCCTGAGTGGATGCAGACACAAGGGTAAATGCCAGCCCAAATTAGACCCCTTGACCTATGTACATTTCATGGGTTTCATTTAATCATAACCCATGGTTTGGGGCTACACGAGGAAGCTGGTAACAAGCTGAATTTCTTATTCGGTGGAAAAAACTGAAACTGTCTAAAAACACAGGATATGTTTTAGGGGCAATTGTGAAAGCAGAGAGAATGAGATGATGCTGTTCTGAGGGACCTGCTTCTTTTTCAGTTGTCTCTAGAACTGAAGAATAATCAATAATTTAGTCCCCCTTCAACAGTACTCAGCAAGGAGCTTGGGACATACTGAGCAAGGAGAATTAGAAGCTTGATCTTCTAAAAGAAACAGAAGAGGGTATCTTTGCCCACTGCCACTGTCTTTACTGCCCCTCTGCCCCCCACATCCACATCCAGCATTGCTCCAAGGATGCGTCAGCATCTTGCCCATGCAGGTAGAAATTTGGGAGTAGGCCTCCATACTTCCTCAGGGGAAGAAAGACAAACTAGTGCTGGTTCTAAGAATGTAGCTGGCTTTTCATCAGAACCCTTATGCTAACTTGACCACACCTGCTCTCGGGGAAGTTCGAGCCTGCTATGTGCAGAAACTCCAACAAGCCTGGCTTTGGTGTTCAGCACGCTGATTCCATAAATGTCTCTTGCAGGCATACCCCACAGCTAGACTGCAGGATTAAAATAACCTCCAAAAGGTGCTGGATTGGAGTTTGTTCAAATTTCTCATTAACCACTAATGTTAATTCATACCAAATGCAAAGTATTCTAAACCAGCTGATGCTGTTAATGTTCACGTTTCAAGCTACTTCAAATGCACCGAAGAGGTTTCAATGGGAGCCAAGTCTCGCGAGTAAAAATCCATTTTATAATAGCTCTGTGATGTATCAGGTGCAAGATGATTCGTAGGGGAGAGATTTGAGCAAGTAGAATTACGTGTTAGCAAAAATGCTGCATTGCTTTATTCATGTTTAAAGACCTACATTTCTATGCACAGGGAATAAAGGGCCCACTTACCAAGTGTAAATCACAATATAGGCTACCACCAAAATATTTCTTCTTTGCTAGGAGAACAAAGCTGTCACAGTGTGTAAGAGTTGGACAGAGATGGCTAAAAAAGAGGCAAATTCAGGTTTTGAAACAGGGTGTCCTGTTGATTGTTTAATGCCAAGATCTGAAAATCTTCAGTGTCTTCTAAGATGGCGATGAAGTAGCCCGTCAATAGCATGCGACTGTTGTGAGTTTGTTTATTGCAGACCTTTGTGAGGGGTCCTGGGAATCTGAGTTTTGTTCCCTGTGCATGGCTGATAACTGAAACCAAGAGAACTTGGGATAGACCCTGTGACAGATCAATTCAGTGACCTCTGTCTTCTGGCCACATTATTCATTGTTCATTTAAATACAGGACTGCCAAACAGTACAAACCTATCATTAGTCTGGTAGAAACGTAAAAGTAAAAACTGCACAAGTACAGTTTATTATTGGAATGTACAACTATCTGCATATAATGTGATTTAATTTATTGTTGTTTTGTGTAGGAAAGGAGAATTAATGACCGTGGATAAAACCCCTGTTTTGTATAATATATTTTATTTCTTGTGCAAACTGGTCATTTAAAATATCTACTTCATTTGGTGTTTGGATATAAATGTGTACGTGTCCTTGTAAATGTTTCTATTAAGCAAGAATGCCACATACTCAGAATATAACAATGTGTGCTCATTAAACAATACATCCCACGGAAACCTTTTCCAGTTTATAATTCAACCAGCATACACTGCACATATCCATATTCTTTGAGGTCTTTGTGCTCTCCTGGGACTTGTTTAAGTAAAAGAGCAATCGGTGGGTCCGATCAACTGTAATGTTTGAGGGGGATACCCAAGAAAAGACTCAAGAATTTCTGCCAACTAAAGGCAAACCTACAGAATTTTAAAAAGACAGCAAACCATGAATTGGCAGGTAAGGGAAGAAATCTTCATGAATAGTAACCTGCATCTTGAGTCAGTACAGCTTGAGAGCACTTCATGGTTGACCTTATCGACTCATATTAAGCCCTTTGCCACTTTAAAGAGATCCTAAGTCAATTTTGTCACTTTAAAGACCTCCCCAGGTTCCAGCATACTAAGCAGATTAACCAGCCTCCAGCATCTCCAGTTGCCTCTGGGTTGAAAAAAGCTGCTTCACCATGATTTATTTTAAGCCCAAGAAACATGTAGCGATGTGCATGGTTGGAGCACTGTTCCCTGGTCCTGCTGCCACTGCCGCCGCCACCACCAATGAGGTCCCCAGACAACACCACAAATGCCACTCAAACTCCCCATGTTTGAGGAGATTCTGCTGACTCGGGGTGGGATGGGTTAGGGTAGGAGGGTATGGCAGGAATGAAGGGTAGAGCCAGGACACCTCCTCTGCAAAACAAGCTCTCCCGCTGTGACTTTCCCATCTCTGTTTTGGGAAACCTGACCTCCTTGAATCTCTGCACCCCCTTGCTACCTCCCCAGTTCCCTCTGAATTTCATTTCATGCATAACCAACATCCCAGGACAGGCCAAAGATGCCTCATGACTGGCTCTTTGGGCTGTGCCCACTGAAGGGGCTCTAGGAAGCTCCAAACACCATTGATTTTGAGGTCTGATGTAACCCTAAATCAGAGGCATCTGGCATTGACTTAAATAGCAACTACTATGGTGGGAGGTACCAATGGCCATGTGTTTAAAAAAAATAGTTATTTTTTGGGGGGGATGAAGTCTTGTTCTATCGCTCAGGCTGGAGTGCAATGGTGCAATCTCGGCTCACTGCAACCTCTGCCTCCCAGGTTAAAACGATTCTCCTGCCTCAGCCTCCTGACTAGGTGGGAATTACAGGCATGTGCCACCACACCCAGCTAATTTTTGTATTTTTAGTAGAGATGGGGTTTCACCATGTTGGTCAGGGTGGTCTTAAACTCCTGACCTCAGGTGATCTACCCACCTCAGCCTCCCAAACTGCTGGGATTACAGGCATGAGCTACCGCACCTGGCCAAAAAATAGCAATTTTATAAACCACCCATTAGCATCAAACTAGAGTTCAGAAAAAAATTCCCTTTGCAGGCCTTGTGCAACCCTGGCGATCATTAGCTGCTGAAGTTTTTGAGGAGTGGAGAGAAGGAGGAGGATGAGCAGGGCATGATGTGCTATGTTCTTTATAGTAACCTGTCATGCCATTTTCTCATGCCCTTCCAGTCATTTCCATTTCATAGTTGGGGACACTCTGGCGCCAGACTCCTGGGGTTCATAGCCCGGCTCTGATCCTTGTGTGAAAATGAGGATAATACTAATTCTAGCCTCACTAGGCTACTGTGAGAACTTTACACTTAGGATTCTACCTGGCATGTGGTGAAACATTCAGTGGAATTACTACTACACTCTCCTGTCTCCTTGGATAAGGAGACAAACCTCTTAGTTGGCAATTTTTGAGGCCTTTAAGGCCAAAGGGATTTCTACTGTTGAAAGCCTGGCAGCCCACATTTCTTTCTTTTCATTTTGGCTTGATGACAAGTAGCCTCAACCTCTCGGAGGATGAGATGAAATGCAAGAGGTCCCTTTCCTGTACACCGTCCCTCTCCAAAGGGTCCTGACAAGGGCCAGGAAAGGAACAGCAATGGCCACATTGCCTCTGATGCTTTCAGAAGGCCTGCGCAGCTTCCTCCTTAGAGTGTAGGCACCAACTCTGGAGCAGTGGGCCACACCTGCTGTACCCGCCTTCTACCCCCTGCTTTCTCCCCTAGTGGAGATGGGCCTGGGGACTGCTCTTTGGAATTCATCCCCCGACTGCTGTGATCGGTCAGAGCAATTCCTGCCATGACACAGAGGACTCATGTGTCCTAAAGAAAAGCCTCCCACCTCGCTGCCCTCAGCCCAGGGCTTTCCCCAGAATGCTGGCATTTTGTCCTAAATGCAACAGTAGCACCTCATTAAGGGTATTGGTGGGTAGGGGATTTCCCAGTGGAGACAAAGGAGGTTTTTATTCCACTCCTACTCCAATGGCCCAAGAGAGACCAGGCGTCACACAGGCTGGCAGAGAATGCTGCATTAAAGTGACCTTTCTGGACCAGAGGACGTGAAGTTCCTGGTGCCCATAGGATCC